CTCCATGTTGAAGAAGTGCATGGGAGATCCTTCATTGATCATACCAACTGAAGATATTGGGATCAAGGATACCTTATCTTATGAGGAGGTTCATGTTAAGATTCTAGATCACCAAGTTCGCAAGTTGAGGACTAGAGAAGTAGCATCAGTTAAAGTTCTTTGGAGAAATCAGTTTGTTGAGGAAGCCACTTGGGAAGCTGAGGAAGATATGAAGAAGAGATATCCATATCTCTTTGAGCCCGGAGAAATTCTAGATGAAGGTACTAATTCTCTTCTTAGTACTCTTTCATTTATAAGTTGGCATGTTGTTTTTGCATTGCTTATTGGGTGTTTGAGCTGAATGTTAGATGTTACACCCTTAGCCTAGTAAGAGTAATCTCATTCGAGGACAAATGTTCCCAAGGGGGAGATATTGTAACATCTTGCTAATTGAAAGAACTAGAAAGAGTTAGAATTAGAAATAGTCATTTTAGGAAAGAATGAAAAATCTGGAAATTTGTTAAGTTATGTTAAGTTTGAGTTTTGGGTCAACTTCAAATGACCATAAATCCTAGCTCAGGATGAGTTAGGAGTTCTTCCAGATACCGTAGGAAATATATTGGAATTATCTTTCCAACGCTGCCAAGTTTGCGCGATTCCGAGTACTTATGAGTGAGATATGTCCATTTGAAGTTGAGTTGTTCAAATAAGGAAAGTCTAAATCGGATTTTGAAAGGGTATTTTAGTCTTTTCCGTACCCAATTATTTTATTCGTTTTTAGGAGTTTATTTGGGGTATAATCATACTGAGATCAGTTTAGAAAAGTTGAAGTTCACGCTAGGGCTTGGAGAAAAGAGAAAAACGGAGAAAGGAGAAAGAAAAGTCTAAGATTCGTCAACAACGTTCAAGTTTGGTTGTTGATTTCCTCGAGGATTCAATCCTAAGAGGTATGTGAGATCATATAGCATTGGGTTAGTTCACCCACGCGCCAATCATGATTCAATTCAGCAAAGTTATATTGATTTGAAAGTATATCCTATGAGTTCTTGATGTAAATTCGATTGAAATCTTGTGGGTTCTTATTGTTGAAGTTTCTTGAGGTTGATTCATGTTTTTAGGTGTGATTTCAAATTGAATCTTTTATATATTGAGGGTATAATCAATTCTAAGTATTTGGGGAAATAACCAAGTGAAATTAGAGGGTTTAGAGTTGAAAAACGAAAAAGAAAATTTAGGATTTTTTGGGGAAGGGGCTGGGGCGCCGCGCCTCTCAATACACCCCAACACAGTTCCTGAATTATGACCTCTGGGACTCCGCGCCAGCCAGAGCTCCCCAAGTCAGTCTCTGAATTTTACCCTCTGGCCCCCCGCGCCTCTCAGAGCGCCAGGGACGCCAGTTCTTCCCATTCTTCCCCATCTTTCCGTACTAGTTCCTTAGCAACGTACCTATGTTTCTTAGTTGATTCCAACACTCTAAGGTGCGTCTAAACATCATGAAATCATCCATAAATATGAGATCATGAACCTTGAATCCATAATTCATTTCAAGGAAAGTTAAGAGTCAAGCTTAGAAATTAAGAATCAAGTCAAGAGAAGTTCATAAAGTTTTTCAAAAGTCTTTCACAACCAATTGAACTTCGTTTTAAGACTTAAGCCTTGATTTATCTAAGGATAAGAGGAAAATTTCATTTCTTCAAAGATATTACGGGAACTAAGTATTCCCAAGAGTTTAAAATGTTTTCACATTTGAACAAGAAAGAGAAACACCGATTTCCAAGGGAGCTTTTAAGCTAAGTTTTGAGTAATTATCTCAAACCAAAGAAAGAGTTTTGTTTTAAAACATATGAGCTAAGTACATTTTGGGAGTAGTATTGAGCACCGATATGGGGACGCAAGTTCATAATAACTCAAGTCTCCATAAACCATGTAGCCATTATGGGTAGTAAAGGATCATACTTTTGAGATGATTCCTTAGTGCTTTTTAGCATTGACTAGTGGATCCACTTAGTTAAGGCATCTTATATGACGACAAAGTATAGGAAAGTTCTGGCAGCGTGGGCGACACTGTATCACCACTTAGGCTCATAGTGGTGGTTGTCGGTTAGAGAAACTCTCACATAAATTATATTACTTTATTATATGAGTAATTTGAGTTGTTATCACATTTCTTTAACAAACTGAGTTGCTTTCTACTGTTCTAAAAGCTTTTCATATATTGCATGTGTATTGTTGCTTTATATTGAGTTAATTTATTCATGAGTTGAGTAAAGCCAAGGTAAGTGTTCCTTTCACATTCTTTTCAAGCTTACATTATGTTTTAGTATTACCCTCGCATACTCGTACATTCAATGTACTGATGCCATTTGGCCTGCATCGTTTTATGATGCAGACACAGGTAACTAGGATCAACATCCAGCACCTCATTGATCCAGTTGAGCACTCAGAGTTAGTTGGTGAGCCTCCTTGCTTTCCAGAGGACTCCTTTTACCTTTGCTTTCTAGTATTTCAGTTGTTAGGATGATCGGGGGTCTTGTCCCGACATCCCTTATTGTTTAGAGGCTTCATAGACAGATAGTTATAGTTCTTTAGTCTTATTCATTTCAGATGTTGTTTAAAGACTTGATTTTGTCTAATTGGCTAGTTGAATGCTTTCTTATTAACATTCTTGAGTTATATGGGTTTATCTTTGTTAAGTTAAGTCTTCCACTGAGTAAGTAAGCCGGGCCAAGGGTTTGCTTCGGGTCAGCAATGGTTCTCAAGTGCCAGTCCCGCCCAGTGTGTAGGCTTGGGGCGTGACAAAAATAACAAGACTCCAAACTCCAAATCTATTTAATGTCATAAATATTAAAAATTTAAATACAAATTATGTTTATAAAATATGTTTTACATAAAATAAAAATTCTCTATAATTTTATTTGTAGATTTGATTGACAAATAGTAACAGTAAACACCTACAATATCGTCTTCTCGATATTTATGAGAATATTTTTAAATTATAAATTGATTTAAAAAAATTATACTTTTAAAAAATTGGGTTGGCCTGACACAACCCATAGCCCACATACTTGTAGGCTGGGCTGATCATTTTCTGGCCCACAAAAAAATGGGTCAGCCCGGCCTGACTCCTTCAACCTTCAAAGCCTGTATGGGTAGCCCGAATGGGGTGGGTTAGCTCATATTGAAAATTCTAATTTCAAGTGTTTGGTTGAGAAAAAGAATTTTTAATAAAATTGGGATAATATTTTTCACCAAATAAAAAAAAAAAAATGATTTATCATCTACCTCTTTAATTTCACTTTTGGATGGATCATGAAAGTCATAAACTCCAAAAAAAAAACAAATAATATTGATTTCACTTGTGATAGGCATCATAGATTTCTCCTATTTTACTTTCATAACAATTATATATACCAACAATTATATGTGTCATTCTATTTCGTACCTCACACTCAATATGTTGACATATAATATTTGGCATACACAATATTAACGACATTTGTTTCTCAAATAAATCACAACTTTCAAATTTAATTACAACTTCAGAATTTACTCTATAATGAGATGAGTTAAATCCGTAACTAAACTACAAATTATTTTACCAAACTCACGATAGCCACACTTCTTTCCGTAAGTGTTCTTTGCTAGGTAGAAGTCAATTCCTTTCTCTCTCCCATATCCCACAATTAGCAGGGCGTGCAACTTTGATTCAACTTTTGTTTTAATCTCCTCTTCTCTTGCCTCAACCTCTCTCTCTAAGGCTTCTCATATACACTTTCTAATAAAATACACAACATGATATAACATGAGAAAATACAATTAATAACTTAAACTTGACTTTATTATAACCAAATATTACTTTCTCAATGATGAATCGTTGTCTTTAAAAATGAGGCATCCTTAATCCTTCTTAGGACCCCAAATTTGAAGGACTCAATTTTTTTTATAGTAGTATTAAAATTATAATAAGTATTTTTTAACAAAATAATTATATTAGATCTATTAATTTGTTTGTCTCTCTTTTAGTTTGTTTCGAAACTCTAAAGATTATTTTTTTCTTTTTTGTCAATTTTTAAATTTAACTTCCACATGATATGTTTAACACCACAAGATTAAAAAAATATTTTGATATTACCCTTATTCAGAAGTGGGACTTGGGTTGGGACTAACACAACTTTAAGAAGTGGTACCAAAAACATTTTTAAGTTGTACTATAAGGCCTCATAGTTTTTGGTCCTTTGTGGCTCAATTTGATTGGGTATTGACAACTGAAGTCTTTTTATTTCCACGTGTGAGCAATTGAGATTGCTTTCTAAGAGTAATTAGAGCTCTCAATTCAATCTCTTTCAAGAGAAAGTTAAAACTGGTAAGTTTTTGGCCTTCAGATTAAAATCTCTGCTTTTCTTCTTATAAGTTTTTAGTTTACTTAATCTTCTCACTCTTTTGTTTAGATTTTTCAGATTTTGATTTTCTTATTTTTCTCACCCCTTTTCCCCCTGATTTTCGTTTTTATTAGAGGTAGATCTGTTGTCAATTTTGGATCCAATTCTTGGGTGATTTTCTGATTTTTTTCTTAGTTTGTTCTGAAATTTTCTACTTGCATGTTCCTAACGGAGATTAGTTTAATGTTGAATTTTCTTTTGCCAATCAATTTTCTACTTGCATATTTTTAATAGAGGTGAGTTTATTGTGGATTTTTCTACTTGCATGTTTCTAATCGAGTTTAGATTTTGTTTCTATGTTCTCTAATTTTCTTCATTTCATCGTCGTCTTTTTAAATTTTTGCTTTTCCGTAATGACTCTGTTCTACTTTCATTTGCCAATAATTGAATGTAACAACCTTTTACTTTAGAGAAATCAGAATATGCAACAAATATAACTACCCAGATACTCATAAAGACTCTGCTATGTCAATGAATTTTCCGTTGGTGCTCTTATATTCTGTCTCTTTACTTGCTGGTAATTAATAAACCTGCTCTGAAGGTTACACCAAAAAAGGAACAAATATAACAAAGCAGGTACTAATCCTTTTTGAAATTCACATTTTGAATTGTTTTTTTATTGGGAAGATCCAACCATGGATTCCATGAAGGACTTCCATCTAAGCTCGATGTTCCCTGTAACTCATCTTTTTAATTTCTTCCTTTCCTTTCTTCTCCAAGTACATGCAACGACCTATGGTAAAAAATTAACAAATTTAAAAAATGCCCACATCAAGAACAAAGCGGTTGAAACACAACATTTCAATTATTTTTTGGATTCTTATGTGTGCGTATCATCAATTTTATCTATTTTGCTTATGCATGATTCAAAATATAAATAGATACGTATATAACTCTGGATCTTTTCTTTAATGCACACACTGCATCTAAGGTGCTTTCTGTGCTGATAGTTTAGTTCACTTTAATTTAATTTTCCCGATAATCTTACTTCTGTTACATCTACCTGCTCTGGGGTTGAAACGCGAAGAAGTGGAAGGAGTTGCTATTTATGTTTTTTGAGGTTTTAAAGCAATCGTTCTTTAGTTATTGCACTCTCATTATCTGTAATCGTCACTTGTTCTTTTGGGTTGTTTCCTATTGGGTTTCAATATGCATGTACCAATTTTTTTGATATGCTTATTCAATATTCATGTTTGAATTGAGATATTCAGGTGCAATCTTATGAGATGTGTTGCAAATTCTGTGTTCTATCGTTAAAATTTATATTGCATGATTAACTTAATTTAAGAATTGGTGCAACAAAGGTGTTTGATAGTATGTTCTAACCAACTAAAAGACTTTTTCATTTCTTTTCCCTACAGATACCATTCCTCACTTATACATTTGATATTTACATGATTTTTGTAGTGTGGGGTGATTATTATCAGAAAGAACAAGCAAATTTGAAGGGATGTGTAGTGATGGATCATTGTAAAATGGAGCAAAACAGGGCAATGTGAGACTCAGAGCCTGTCTCTTCTTCTTTATGTGGGATATGGTATGTTTAAAATCCTTCGGACATCAATCACTACAACTTTAGAAAAAGAGAAACGTTGTATTTTTCATATATTTTTAAAAAAACATAGACAGGGAGAGCGAGAGAAAGAGGTATGAGCAAGGTACAGTGAAATTACTTCATTCCCAGTGTTCCAGAATGATATGCGCTCGAGGATCACGCCTCTGTGAGCTTCTCTTTTCTATATTTATTCATATTTACTCTAGACTGTACATCACTTCATGTACTTAAATAATGATTGCATTGGTATTAATCTACAAGGTGTGGTCATCTAGAAAGTGAGTACTAAATACCTATGGAAAATAAAATACTCATTCGCTTTTTCGTTACATGGTTACAGATGGGAAAATCAAGAGTAGGGATTAAGATCTAGAGGGTTGTTGTGATTAATTATATTTACTAAGAGCCACAAAATCAGTATCTTTTTATGTTCATTATGGTTGTGTTGACACATTATTGGACTTAGTCCAGAGAGCTAATGTATCTCTCAAGAAAAGATTGGAAACTACATATAAGATGTAGATTCTCTTAATGGTGTGAGGTCTTTCGAGAAAAACCTTACAATCATGGCAGTCACAATCATTTACAAGCTTTATGCCAATTTGAACTTTATTACAGTGGACTTTTGTGTTTGGAGTTCATAGTTGCTCATGTGAAGATGAAACATCTTCTTTCCCTCGTAGGCTTCTTTTCACTTTAAATTAAAATTCATTCACTGACTTTTAAATTCTTGGAAAGTATTGTTTCAATATGTTGATAAAGTTCTTCAATCATGTAGATTCTCTATTTTCAACTTATTCAATATATATTGTGTCCATTTTCAGATGTTGAAGGAATATTTAGATTCAAATCGCACTAATATTACCCTTATATATAAATGAGCAAGAGAAGGATGAACACTGCAATCAATAATTGTAGAAAAATCAGAGAGAACCAAGCTTGGGCTTGACTTTTTGGGCTGACACATTAAGGTTATTTGCGTCAGTCGCATAATCCTCAGGGGTATTGGGAAGAACTCAATAAAAATATAGACATGCTATGTGACTAAAATTCCCAAAGGTTAGTAATGCATTCACGTTCTGTCAATTATTTGATTGCCTTTCAACTTACTTACGATCTATATTGGATTGGAGTTGGTTAATGAGTCTTACCCTTTTTCTTTTTGGTAAGGCAATTCGTTCTAATTTCAAAAGTTGAACTTAACAGAAAACAGTATTGGGCTTGTAGTAGGGACAACAAGGCGGATGGAACTCGAGATGAGCAAGATGAGAAGTACATCACTCGATACCATTAGTAAGTTCCTTGAATTCTATATTTTCTTGGGAGAACAAGTTATTATCTTTTAATTTTTGATAATCAAGATTAGCTTTAATTTAATTGTTTTATGTGTCAATTTGTACCCCAGAGAGAGAGAGAGAGAGAGAGTTGAATTTGAGAGTATAGAAGGTCCCTGAGATCGAGCAGTAGGTAATCTAACGTCGTTTTGCTCGATTATTGCCATTTTTCGATTAGATTATTGTTGTTATTTAACGGAAATCAGTTCATGCATATGAATAATATTGGGTGCTTCAAAATGGTGATGAGTATGCATAGAATATTTCAGATTTGTTTCTTGTATGGTGTCTCGAGTCTGTTTTTAATGCTAATAATGATTGATGGTGGGAAAATTCTGCACATAATTTCAGAGTACACAAACTCTTGTTGTTTCTTCTGATTGGGAAAGAATAGGGGTTTGGGAATTTTTAGGAAAGATTTATTTTATTTCTATTCAAGTACAAGTAGACTTCAACTGAGCTCAGAAAGTATAAAATATCAACTCTTATATAAAGAGTGTTCATCCATGTATATACTCAAAAGACAAGAATATGTATGCCATCAACTTAGTGGACCAGATGATAAATCATAAGACTTATTATTTCAGAACTTTCAAGACATTATGATAGAAGGAAAAGTGTTGATAAAATTGAATGTCAAATGGTTTCTTTCTCGTGATAATTGATATCAATTGGTGGAGAAAAAACAAGCCTAACCTATAAGTGCAACTTTTGTTGGATGATAAGGATTACTATTTTGGAAGTCTATTACTAACAAATAGAAAGAATGTACTTCGTACACAACTTCCAGATTGACAATAGTTAACAAGTAAAGATTGTGCTATTGCAATAGTAGCATTTATCAAAGGGTACTATTTGATTCTTTAACTCTCATTATTTGGATGTTTTTATTATTGTTACTTGAATTTAGTGTTCAAATTCTATTATCGATCTTCATATTTTGTGATGTATGAACTCATGTTCATTTTGTATTATCATGTCAACTGCTTCTCCTAGCATATGATAAACGAAGAAGATATTCACAAACCCAAATGATACTACTTTAATTTGGTTGTTTTTTCTATTTATTGCTTGTGACTCATATATTATGAGATATGGTTGTAATGTGTCTAAAGCTTGAGATTCTGAAAGTTACTAGCAATGAAAAAAGTTTATGAAAAGCTTTTGAAGTACCCTAACCACAAACATTTTGTTTGACACGACATCTACGAATATGCTTACCATGACCCTTGGACAAGTGATTTGCAGCGTCTTTGGACCATGGTACTTTGTATAACCAAGAGTAAATAAGAGAGAGAGAGATGATTATGAGACACCGAAGAGGTAGGAAATTTATTTATTTTTGAATGTCACATGTCTATATTCCTTCCTGTCTGTCTTTCTATCTTTTTCATTTATTATGCTATTTTGTAATATTAGAGTTCAATGTTTGCCTTACAGATGATGCATGATATTGATAGATTGAGTTTCATTATTCGTTTCATTTCAGTATCCCCACTCCTCCATCCATTGACATCAGTTTATCATAGGAATGAAATATAGGCATTGATTGTAAAACATTATATGTATCTTCTTTTTGCTCTTTCTGCATATTTATTTTTGGTAGATTCTGTATATGGACATGGTAATTTGTTCAAACATTTTTATGGAATTTAGATTAGCACAGAATGTAATAGAGGCTGACCATTAATCACATTGAATTGACATTTGGGGATAACAGAGGGACAAACTTTGATCCTAACTTCTAAGTGGCTCAGCAGAGGAAACAAAAAGGAGAATGGAGGAGAAATCAGAGCTGAAGATTCCTGTAATTCCATGGCGACTCTGGATTAACTTTAAGACCGTATTCGTCTCTTTCTAGATGTATGGAAAAAAAGGTGACTCAATTAATCATATTTTCCCAAAGCAGACTTGTAAACATTGATAATAAGAAATGCCTCTTTCTGTTTTCTCCGTAGACTAATGTTGTACTGTTATTATACGAGAAAATCAATAATACAGTTAAGTATTGATATTTTGTTATGACGCTAAAAAGATCACATCAAAATTCAGAATGTTGGGCCCGTGCTATCACCTATCTAGTTATATATATATGTATGTATCTTTAGTTTAAAACAATAGAAAACAAATTATGCTCTTGTCTCAAGCTCTGTAAGACCCATATACACTTTCTGGTAAAATAAATAACATGATATAATATTACAAAATACATTTAATAAAGTAAACATGACTTAGTTATAATCAAATATTATCTTCCTGCGATATTTAGAAAAACTCTAGGTGTACGGAATTGTTTGTGTCAGTGGTTGCCGCTCAATCGCTTCTTCTATCTTTTTTCATTTGGTCTATTGCTAAGTCATTCTCTTTTTTTTCACACAGCGTTTAAACCCTTTATCTTAATTAAATTGTGGAAAGAAAAAAATTGTTAAATAATGCTGCTGTAGCCACTAGCCTGTACTATCTTTATTTTTTTTTATTCGAACTCGTTCTGGCCACACAATATAGTGGGAACTTCTGTCCACTATATTGGGATCCCATTTTCTTTACTTAAAAAAGTGTATAAAATGATTCTGTATGGAAAATACTTTTCTTCTGCTATATATATTTCTATGCTATTTGATAAGAAATTCACGAGAAATTAAAAATGCTAAAAATGAAAGGCTGATTTAAAAAGTATTGCAGAAGAGAATATGGAATGAAAATTGTAACAAACAACATATAGTTTTTTTTCCATTTAAGTTCAATAATTTATAAATAGAGAATAGCAAACAAAAATTAATGTGCAATTCATGTACTGGCCTTATAGTTGCCAAGCAGTTGTGCTTTCTTTGATTTGATTGTTGGCATAACTATATCTGTTACAATGTTAAAAGCATTTGACTCCTTACTAACTATGTGCCACATTTCAACACCACGAAGTCAAAAAAATATTGTGACATTTCAGTTCTTATGGCCAGGCTGAAAGGCATAGTCGAAGGACAACATATGAATATTCCTATACTACTCCAGATAAGAAAGAAACTTGGCAAAAAGAATGGAGAAAACTAAAATTGGTAATATACACTCTTGATTTTTTCATACAGGATGGTTGAGTTCATCCGAAATGTACTTTTCTTCATGTTAACATAAATTTTTTGTGCCTCTTCAAAATTAAATAAGAAGATTCACGGAAGTTTAGGATTAGATTCTCTTTTAATCCTCTTAAATTTTTATCTCATATTCTCAAACCTCATACTACTATTTTGAGCTTCATCGATTTAGAGTGTAGTGTAGATTTGATGACTGAACAAGACCTGTACAGCCTTCCGTTAAATTACTACTCAAGTCTAATCCTCATTATGTACCATGTTCTCCTTTCTCTTCTTATATTTTACTCGAAAATTCTTCTTATTTTCTCTTAGTTAAATTGATCGAGCCTAACGTTAGCCAAGAACTTGAAAATGAATCATTCAATGATGAAGAGTACAGAAAATAAAATAGAAGAAGTGACTCTAACTACTTCTTTTCACTTAAATAAAATATTGAGAAACAAGCTGAATTAAACCACCCCAAATAAGGGTATTCGTGAGAATGATCCACAGTAGAATTAATTTAAATTTTGAAAAAAGTACACAAATAGACCTTAAAACTAAATTAATTAATTATCTAAAAATGACCAACCCAAACTAATTCCCTAAATGGTCAATCGGATGTCCCCTTTTTGTTTTGAAGTTAACTTTTGTTAATATTTTTAAATCCTCTTTATTTGAGGTAAAATATTCATTCATCAGGTATATAAATTACTTTAGAAAGAATTATTTGTCTACTACACTAAATTGTTCTCCTAATTTTAATGGACATAAATACAAGACATAAAGTCAAAACTCTCTTTTCATCTTTTATCACTTTGTAAAGAATGAGATAATTCATTCTAATTTTCATCAAGTAGGTCATTATTTTTGTTTGTTAAACACCTATAAAACAAATTTTAAGTATATTCAAAATTAATCTATAGATGGATCATTAGACTTTATTGCTTCATATAGTTTATGAAAATTGTTAATATATTGACACTCATAATTTTAATCTTTTTCTCTTGAATAATTTTTATATAAGTTAAAACAAATTAAACAATTACACTAACCACTTCTTATGGATCCAGTATTGATGTACATTTGCACGCATCCTTTTTGGCTTTGCTGGATTGAGGCATTTATGTGTTTCTTATCCCCTTATATGAATACATTTTTGCTTAAGAGATAATTTCATGATCATTTGCATACTCAAATGCTTGATCATAATGGTAATTAAAGGACTCTCTACATTTCAGAAATTTCAACCTTTCAGGTTGTCCAGAATGTATAAAAATACAATCTATCAACTGTTGTTTCAAAAGTGAGATCATCTCCCTCTTCAAAATAGCGTAGGATGGTGTAATTGCTTCAATATTATAAGTTTTTTTTATCAAAAATTAAATATACGGCGTATGATAAAATATTAATTACATCCACATAATTATATTATTATTATTATAAGAGAAAATAGTCAAATGCCCCCTCAACCTATTATCGAATTTTTGAATACACACTTATGTTTCACGGGAGTCCAAACACCTCCCTAGACTATTTTAAAATAGAAGGGCTAACCCATCGGTGGCCTCCTAAATTTGGCACGATTTTTCACTTAGACACTTTAACTAGGCTTTGTTCATTTTAGACACCTCATGTCACGCCTAACTGTGTCAATTTGACACTTTCTGCTGAGATGGCATAGCAAGTGTGATACACTCACTAGACGCGCGTGAGAGCTTCATTTTACCAAATTTTTAAAAAAAAAAATCTTCTTCTTCTTCCCCATTTTTTGGCTACCATTTTCCAAGCTTAAACTCTTTCCATGGTGAAAATTTTTTGACGATGTCACAAACAAAAAGTGAATTCTAGCGCCCATAAATTTTAAGCTTAAATACTTTCACTTATTTTGTTGTCCTTCTTCCTCAAAATAATTTGAGAAAATCAACATAAATTTCAAGAAGAAAAAAACACTCAGAAATGGCAAGAAATCATATTTTCAATTATCAAATCCTACATTCACAACAAACAATTTTAGCGTTCCAATCCATTTGTATGCCTTCTCACATCATAATCACAGAAAAAGTCCAAATCAAATAGATAAGCGATATAATTTTTAGTAGAAAGTTTGGGACCTCCATATATATGTACCAAAAAACCAAATTTTGACTTGCATTGACCCAGAAATCCAAAAAAAAAAAATAATTTATATATATGTCACGTGTCTTTATTTAATTCGTCACTTTGACACGTCATCAGCGAGTGTGTTAACACACACCTTACAAATTTGGCAGATTGTCGAAAAAGTGTCAAAATGACACAGTTGGGCATGACATGAGGTGTCTAAAATGAACAAAGCCTAGTTAAGGTGTCTAAGTGAAAAATCGTGCCAAATTTAGGAGGCCACCGATGGATTAGCCCAAAATAGAATAATTACACCCTTAAATGCTCACATGGCATAGAGAGTGTCCTCACTCTCTTGGAGGCATGTGGAAGTCAGAAGAATTGATAAAAATATTTTATAATATTTTAATTTAACTTTTTGTTAAATATATATTTTTTTACTCTTCTCTTTAAGTTCTATGCTTCTTTTTTCTTTTTTCCCTCTCTTTCTCATTACTCAACATGCACCCCACCACCATTTTCTCCATCTTGAACCACCATCACTACACTAACCATATCTTTTTATCCATCTTTTAATATAATTTTTTTACAATTTATTTCACTATTTTCTACAACTAACACTACAAATCATCAAATATTATTAAAATTATTATTCATATTGCCGAAAAAATCAAATTGTCCTTAATCTCACTATTCCAAAAAAAATCACTAAAATAAAGAGAGAGAAAAAGCAGAAGAAGATAGATAGGAGAAACAAAACCTAAAAAAATAGAATTATTAAACACCTTCCATCATAAAAATTCATTCTATTATTGAATTTGTTTCAATTATTGAAGAAATCCAGTGAATTAAAACAATTATGACTATAAAATAAAAAATTTCGATCATCAATTTCATAAAACAAACTAAACATGAGTTTTGGGTATATGATCTGGGTCATCCATCTTTTTTTTCATTTTTATCAATCTCAAATTAGTTCAAAATATCAACACCATTAATCTACCTTGTCACCAATTTTAGGTCAATAACATATATCAACCATCAGATCTTATTTTCAATCTCTATTGTTGTTTGGTGAAGACCCAAGAATTTAACCAACGACAACTCGTAAATAAAATATTACACATGGAAACAAAGAAATAACATAATAAAAAAAAAAAAGAAAAAAGAGATGAGTAATCAAGCTCGTCAAGGTGCAAGGATGATATAAAGTGATGAAAAATGATAATAAAAACAGCTTCGATCTTTTTCGTGGATGACTAATTTGGAAGAAGTGAATGAAAAACAAAAGAGAAGAAGAAGAAAGAGGAATAAAAAAAATAAAGATATTTTTGTAATTAATGAAAAAGGGAATAAAAAGGAAAAACTAAATATAAATAATAAAAAATAACAGTTGCCAGCGAGTGGGCATCACTACATGTTGAGAATGTGGTTGTCTAGTTTTAGGGTGGTATATATTTTATTTTTGAAAAATCCAGGGGGGGTAATAGATCCCTGCAAAGTATAAGTGTATAGTTGAGAATTCGATAATAGGTTAGGGAGACATTTGTTTATTTTTTATATAATCAATATATATAGGGTGGCATATATAATTAATCACTTGATTTATTATTATTATTATTGATTATTTTTTATTTTCTATATAATCAATACATATAATCATTTCATTAGATAAGACATTTGATATAAAATATAGGAAAAATGTACAAGTACCCCCTAGACTATGATCGAAATCCCAGAAACACACTTTAACTAAACTAAGGTCCTATTATCCCCCTGAACCCATATTTTTTTTGTAATTTTCTGCACCTTTTTGGCTTATGTGGCATCCAAATATTTTT